ATTTTAGTTCGTTATAACCGTAGTTCGTTATAAGCATACATACAGCATATATACAAAAAATGTCCGGGACCAAAAAATAAGTTCGTTTTATCGGTCAGTTCGTTACAAGCGTGTTCGTTATAACCGTAGTTTACTGTATGTCAATTAATATCAATTCTGGTTACATAAAACGCGCGCTGTATGTACCGTGTATACGTCAAGAGTCAAAAGCATAGGTAAGAGCATCTACGTAACTTATTGCGGGTGAGTGGGTGTTTGGATGGGTGGGTGAGTGAGCGTGTGAGTTGGGTTTACATCGCATAAAGCACCATTTGGAGTAGTATGTCAGTGATATAAACTAAGGGCCTAACTCCACAATTGATTTTTCTCGTTTAAAAAACATGTCTACTTTAAAACATGTAACGAAAAAAGTGAGTCAGTGTGTTTTTTATACCGCTTTCAGCAATATTCCAGCAATATCGCAACAGGGACACCAGACAAGGACTTCACACATCGTACAACTGTGGGGAATCGAATTCGGGTCTTCGGCGTAACGAGCTAACGCTTTAACCACCCCACCACCCATTGCGACGAAGCAGAACTTAAACCATTGCTCCTTTGTCTTTTTTGTTCCATTACCTGATTGAAATGTCAGTTAGGCACCACTTGGCAATGGCAGAACGTCCTTTCTCCCCGTTCGTATCCTTGATGAAAGAACACTTTCACGAAAAACGTGTGTTGCCAGCTAGATTCCAACCCACGAAGTCCGCTCCGATGGCTAACGAATGTAGTCTTCTCCTACAACTTTATGAAATTAACAACTAAATGTTTACTTACTGGTAGTTTATCCGTTTATGAACGCGGAATAATGTGTTTTATGCAGTAAGTATTATGTTATTCTATGCATTGTACGTACGTGTGATTTAGTAGGTTTTCATTCAAAGTAACGAACGGATAGAAAAGAAAAGACTCTTATCTTGATCAGGGATATGTTGGCCCATAATAGACCTATCGACATTGGTAAGTAATATTTAGGTGTTTTAGGAGATAAACTACTGTGTTTTGAAATTTGATGCAGTCCCGCTGTAGATTGAATACCTCTTATTTTAATTTGGGACCGAGCGCTTTAGAATTTGGAATCGAGAGCTTAGAACGTTCCTGAAAATGTTGTGTTGAAAGTAACAAATAATACTCAAGTTCAAGATTATTTACTTTTATTCTTGACTAATTCAAAATACATACATTAGTTTTTTAAAGCGTATTTGAACATTGGCCTTTCAATATTTCAACATATGTTGAAATCTACATGGTGTCAACAGTGAAACTGAACATCAAATTTCATAAAATTATACAGTTGTATGAAATATATATATTTTGTCGTTCGTTGGAATCAATATATCTATGGCCTCTATACTAGACAGTATACACCGCATAATTGAATTTGACCAAATAATTTCTAGGCTGAAAAAAACGCCCAAATGTCCAAAACAGAACCAGCGAAAAAGCATTTATTGTTTGTTACGTTTTTAGCCACCATCAAACATTGGCTTGTACATCCTTTTGCCCCGCTGTTAAGTGAAGGTGAGGTGAGGTGAGGTGAAATGACGTCTAAGGGCAAGTTCACACGGAAATGAACCTATTTTTCTTGTACTTTTTCCACATTAAAAGTGTTAACCGAGAAGCGTCATAGACAAAAATATAAAAATATCTTAATTAATCAACAGATTTTTCGCATTAAAGCTATTTATATTTTTCACATTTACCAAGTGTTCTATTTCCATAACAAAAACACCATGGCTTATGCCCCTTGCAATATGACGTCATTGGTGCCAATTGATAAACATTATGACGTCATCATGCTTTGTTAGAGCCGCTTCACGTGGTGTTGGTGTGTGATTCTTGCGTCTCAGATGCCAGCTAGCATTGTGTTATGCTGAGTCACCACTGCGCCGGAGTGTGTCGTAGGCCATGTTGTTTTACCGCAAACTGGTACTTGATATCTTTTGCGTTGAGAATAGACAGGGACCCAGTTGAATTGGCACCAATTACGTCATAATCTAAGGGGGATAACTCAGGCCTGTTTAGCTCGAAAAACGAAGGACTCATAACGGCATATCATTTTCACACTATTGTGAGCTTCCTACTTTCACTGTGAAACAATGAGTGCATATTTTCAAACACAGATACTAACTAATTCTAAAATTGCGTTTTGTTTAGAAAAAGAAAGAAAGTAACTTTTGCGTGTACACTTCCCCTTTAACGTCGCGTCCAAGATTATTGCACTTATATAGCGACGTGCATGTACGTGTATGTGTTTGTGTGGCTGTTTGTACTAGTCCGGGCTGATGCCGATTTATAGTGCTAGCCGACTGAGATACCATGCCGCAGTTTACCATGAATACCCCATTCAGACACAGTATACTGACTCCGAGCCGACCAGTCCTTGTTTTAGCCCCTTAATGCCGAGCGCCAGACAGGGTAACAACAAGTACCATTTTTTAACGTCTTTTGGTATGACACGGCCGGGGATCGAAACCCGGACCTTCCGCTCTCCGGGCGAACGCTCTACCACTAGACCACGGAGGCGGTCCCGCTGTTTAGTAACCGAATACATGACCAGATATTGGTTTGATTTGCTTTGCAAGTTAATCACCCCATGAAATAAAGGACACATCCTCACCTATTTTGTTAGTTTAGGGATATATCTCCAATGGACATACTTACTTCTGTTTGTTTGTTGTTGTTGTTGTTGTTGTTGTTGTTGTTGTTGGGTTTTTTGTTCAACGCCGCACTCAGCAATATTCCAGCTGTATGACGGCGGTCTGTCAATAATCGAGTCTGGACCAGACAATCCAGTGATTGATATCATGAGCATCGATCCACGCAATTGGGATCGATTACATGCATTAACCAAGTCAGTGAGCCTGGGCATCCGATCCCGTTAGGCGCCTCTTACGACAAGCATGTGTTGCTGAAGACCCATTCTACCTTGATCTTCACTTGTCCATACTTACTTCTAAATGTCATTCAAAGACTTGATAATTAATTTTGCAAGTGCGATAGAGCTAACATGGAGACGGCCATTTCCCAGAGGTTGTAGTAACCAGTCCCGTATAACACCCGCTGCCGGCCTGATGTGGCTTTCCAGTGCATTTGAACTATCGATATCAGCCCGCGTGGTAAGAAAATGGAGTTACGTCCCTTAGTGCGTCGTCAGCTCGGCTAGCTTTCCCGTGTCTACCAAACAAGGTAACAAAATGTATTGAATTTACATGCAAATAGAATTATGGAGCTAGATGCTATTTGGGACAAAACTGACAACAGATTTAAAAGCGAAACGGGCACGGAATGTTCTGTGAACGAAATAAGAAAGAGTGAGTGAGTTTGGTTTTACGCCGCTTTTAGCAATATTCCAGCAATGTCACGGCCGGGGACACCAGAAATGGGCTTCACACATTGTACCCATGTCGGGAATCGAACCCGGGTCTTCAGCGTGACGAGCGAACGTTTTAACCACTAAGCTACCCGACCGCCCCAAATAAGAAAGAAGAACACGGTAGTAAAACCGACAGCAACATGAACTATTCAGAACATATTTGGTCACGTGATTTGATGCCCTTCGCGGGGTAAGACCCGTTTATTACAAAATAGATATTGATCATCTAGCAGATCGTCTTGACTTGGCGCCGCCATTTTGTTTGAGATATATGAGAGATGGAATCTGATTGGTCAATAAGAGGAACATAGAAGATCTTTTTGAAATTCGTGAAAATATGGCAAAACGTTTTAGATTAAATTCATACTCACACTCAAAAGTAGTGGTGTTAATTAAGTAGTAAAAGTACATACTAAATGCGTAAAAGTACGTATTGTATGTTGTCATGGCGACGTCACGCCAAAGGTCCCCTCATAATACGTATACTGGGTTAAGCAATTCAAATGCTGAAAAGCTTCATACTTTTAAAATAACTATGGTAAGGTAAAATCAGTAGATGCATAATTGGTTCTTTCTTTCACAGCAATACATCAACACATCAACGCAATACACAGTTAATTATTGAAAACTTATTTATTTCCAATTGCCCATGCAAATGAAGGCAGTCATTCTCTAAATAGACATCATACATCATACCACATACAACATACACAACTTCATAATATAAGTTTAATAATTTTACATACTTCATAGTTTATTGATTTTATAAGACAAGAGTTTACCTTTGGTGTACATACAACTCGAAATGTGTGTATTTAAGAACGTTAATGGTCGTTTTCACATAAAATACTAGTCAATATATCTTACAAATACATGTTGGTTGGTTGGTTGGTTTGTTGTTTAACGCCGCACTCAGAAATATTCCAGCTATATGACGGCGGTCTGTAAATAATCGATTCTGGACAAACACAAGTAAAGGAGTGGTTTCTTTGGTGTATAGAAAATAAAGCATACTTTCCATGGATGCAGGGAAATATTGTACAAAACATTTTTATTTCAGGTAGCTAAGAGTTAAGATGCTGCTATGACTTTTGGGTTATTCTGTCTGGGATACCTACTCCCTCAAAGACTAAATATCTAACTCAGATATCCATGTTAAAATAAATGGCGTGAAATGGTGTTGAAAATGGTGCTTTCACGTTTGTGTGTTTGGGTGTGTGGGTGTGTGGGTGTGTGGGTGTGTGTGGTGGGGGCGGGGGGGGGGGGGGGGGGTGTACTAGCAAGTACTATCTTTTAACTTCTTTTGGTATGACGCGGCCGGACGCTCTACCATTAGACCACGGAGGAGGTCGAAAAAGAAATGTAGCCTTCATTACTTCCCTGGAGCATTCAGTAGATCATGAACAGTCAAGTCCCGTTAATCCGACATCGATGGTTGCATACGATTATGTCGGATTGACGAGTATGTCGGATAAACGAAATTAAGTAGTATCAAAGTTCGTGATCGAAAATTGGACAACTACACGATAGATAACGATTCAAACACTTAATAAAAAAATATATAATAAATATGCATATTGTTATGTTACATTGTCACCGGAATATGTTTTCTAATCATGCAAGCTCTAAAGCTCAACACAAAACAACTGTTACGGACTGTATGACTTATTCAACATACTTTTAAAAGAATTCTGGAATGGAAGTCGCAACTTTGAAACTAGTACCACCAAGCTAAGAAAGCTGCCTTCTAAGTGGCTAACGTTGACTTCCTGTTAGTCATTTCATTGGTAGGTCATAGTTCGCGAAAGGTTGCAATTGTTCTGTAATGGGATGTCCTCGTTGATAGCAAGAACTTGTATCTGATTTTAATGAGATTGAGATAATCTAAGCATGTGGTTAATCCTCTTTTCTTATTTAAAGCATTAATTGTTTATTGTTAAGCAAGTTTATCTCTGCAGCCGTTATAATATGCAGCTACCAGCCGATTCGTCTCGCATCAAAACACGGGCTGTGTACTCGCGGGCAGATGACCACGGAGAACGCCGATCACTGTATGGGATTGACGAGACTGATTAATGAGTGATTAATTATTGTATAACCATGTTAATCAAAAATACTGATATTATATTTTACCATTTTTAGATTCCTATCGACCCACATAAATAAAAGTAGAAAAAAACATTTCCATCATCATAAGGAATCTCTACTAAGTCCATTGTATACGATTCCGACCACATCATGAGCATGTGTTTATGAATCACTATCAAACAGTGATGACACCAGGTGTTCGCGAAAAGGCGAGCGTATCCTTCCCAAACGGTGGCATCATCCGTCACAAATACATGCAAAGGCATGTTAATTGTTCACCTGAACACTAAGCGAGGACGTGTGGTACAGTGTATTTGTGTTTTGTTTTAAACAGAAACAATTTAATTCACTTAGCTTTGCGACATCACATAGCCGTTTCTTCAACAGAAACACTCATTCTTCGTACATTTGGACATCGTGCGGCATCGTCTCCTTTACGAGCCGCCGTACAACTTGTCTTTACGACGTGGAGGTAACCGTTATCTTTACGACGACGCAGTATTGTAGACGGGATTCGTGACGTCTACGTAGAGCACTGTATTCTTAACGACATCGTTTCTCATCGTTTGAATTACGTTATAGCTAACACCATATACGACATTTTACGTGCGCCGTAATCTTTAAGACATCGCAATACATCTAATGACTTACGACATCGTAGCACATACTATACAGCCCTTTTGTGCGCCATAATATTCACGACGCCGTATTGCAATGCCTTTTCCCAACCCTGGACAGCTCTTCTCCTAGTGCTGTATTTCTTAGAAATCACTTTTTTAAACATGCAGTTCTTCGGCAGCAGTGACCAATTTAACGAAAACGGATCGCCCTATCTCTTTACACACGATACGACTATATAAGCCGACCTAGTTCTAACCAAACAACACACACGCTGGAGAGTGATTGATCTCTTATGCCGCATGTAACAGCTTTACAACAGCACCTTGTAAACAATCGCGTCACACGATTGGCTATAAAGAATACTAAATCACAAACCGACCATTTTCAAGACAAAGAGGTAAGTTAGACTGTACGGGCTGTGCTGACGACGCTTGTCCCCTGGTCTTGCTATCAAGTGCAGCACACAGCAGTCCTCGAAAATACGTTTCTTTAGCTCGCATGTTGATAAGTTCATTCTCTCTATCCTCCTGTTCTTCCTTGACTTCAACACTTGATATTTCCATCTGTGTGACCCTGACCTCCAGTTCATGAGTCCGTTTGTACATCTCTATCATTTCTTCTTCCTGTATTGAGCACTTCCGGGTCAAAGGGGGCGTGTCTGGAGATGAAGGATAGGCATATGGTTAGTCGTACTAAATCAAATCCGTGCAAAATATATTACTCAAAATAATCCAAGGAACACTGGAATTGTTTAGAAGATTTTAACAACAGTTGGCATGTGTATTATAATGGCATTTTTTAGACATGCCATAACAAGACAAAAACATGTCAGAACAAAGAAAAGACGGTAGGGTAAAGTCAAAAAGCTGCACTGAAGACGACTGGGGTCTTTTGTGAAAGTCAAAAAGGGCAGAAAGACTGGTTCACTGGTTAATATCGGATGTGGCCACCTCTGTTTTTGATGCATTCGAGACAACGTCGACGCATCGACCTAACCAAGTTTCTAGTAATCTGTGGAATGGCTAACTATTCTTAATGCAACAATAGCACCAACTGAGCACTGTTGCAGGTTCATGGTGGTTATCCCGAAAGTTCGTCACAACGCGTCCAACGAATGTTCAATCGGTGCCAAATCGGGAGAATAGGCTGGTCAGTCCATCTGATCAGACTCTGCTGCAGAAAGTTCATGACAACCGTAGCGCGATGTAGTGGTCCTGGGGTCTTGCCTGTGGGCCAACAGCTCGAGGGGCTGGAAGCGCCAGAGTCTGTAAAATCTCTGATCCACCTTCAAACACGGCCTTTCTCCGACGTTAGCGTCAGGAAAATGCTCGCCAGGACGTCGCTACACTCGAATACGACCATTATTGAACTTGAAACAGAACCAGGATTCATCAGTGTACAAGGTTCCACTGGAGCCTAGTCCACCGAAGATGCTGCTGACACCACGTCAAGCGTGCGGCTCTACGGTGCTCCTGAAGTGGTATACGGACAGCTTAACGCCTTGAGCTCAACTTTGCCTCTCAAAGCCGATTCCTAATGGTCTGATCACTAACGTTAGCGTTGGCAGCGTTCCTACGCTGTATTGTGAGAGCATTAGCAGTAATGGTGCGTTTGCCTAATGCCATTGGGCGATAAGTCGATCCACTACCCTTGTTGTGATTCGTGGACAACCAGGGCCATGTGGTTCCTGCACTTGTTCTGTTTTCTGAAAGCGTTCCCATAGTCTGTGAATGACAGAAGGGGACACATTAGGAGGTGCCACTTCACGCAAACTGATGCCTTCCTGAACCCATGCCACACCCCTCCTTCTGTAAACATTACTCACAACGTCGTCTCTGAGGTTTCAAAATGGGATAGCCCTCAGTGAGCACATTCAACTTAACAGGGAAGGATTTCATGAATGTCAGCACGTGCAACATGCTTCCCTGATCCAATTGGCCGTCTGTGCCCTACGGAAGACACTTCAGGTCATCATTTTTACGAGGCAGAAGTGTCATCTATGGATTAAAACCACGTGATAATGAACAGTAAATGAAAAAAAGTCTGTCAATGTAAATACAAGTAATACTTTTTGTGTTCCTTGGATTCTTTTGTAAATTTGTTAGTTTGTTTGTTTATTTGTTGTTTGCACTCAGCGATATTCAAGCTATATGACGGCGGTCTGTAAATCGAGTCTGGACCAGACAATGCAGTGATTGACATCATGAACATCGATCCACGCATTTGGGATACGATGACATGCATCAACCAAGTCAGCGAGCCTGACCACCCGATCCCGTTAGTCGCCTCTTACGATAAGCACAATCACCTTTTACAGCAAGCATGGGTTGCTGAAGAATTATTCTACACAAGATCTTCACCGGTCGGATTCTTTTGAGTAGTATATAAAATTGTACATGTGTGTATATGTGTTCTCTTCTTTGAGATGGCATGTTTATTTATTTCTTACAGATTTTCAGAAAACATCATTTTCCATCATGAAATCTACTCTAAAAGGAAAGATTTTCTTCATCTCAAACTTAATTTCAATAAATGAAAATTCACAAAGAAGCCAATCTATAATGTTACTACATATCCGTCACTTTGTCAAGTTGAAGATAATACTGACCTTGAACCCTAACCTCCTCTTCGCCAAAATATAGAGTATCGACGCCAAGCTTTCGGAGTTGTCTTCCTTCAACGGAGGTCGCTATATCCCTGAGCGTTTTTGCGCAGAACGAGCTGATCATGAGTGTGATCAACAGGCTGTTGGAAGGTTCAAGGCCACTCACAAACACGAACTCTGGTGGGATGAACAACAGTCGTGCTACATTGGCTCGGAGGTCCTCCAGCTCACGTCTCTGGAAGTTGTCAAGGTCACCCTCCACGTGGAACTTGACGTTTTCGTATCCCGACTCTGCAATGCCATGTGGAGCGTGAAGGGCGAGTTATGCAAACGGATAGTAAGAACATAAAACACACTTTTCATTTAACAGGCCTCGATGTGTCTTTCTAGTAACTTCGCTTAATTTTTGGAAGGTTATTTTCCGAAAGGGTAGCAATTCTTCATTGGCGAGCCATAATCACCATAACGTATTCTGATATTTGAGGGGGGCACGGGTGGCCAAGTCGTCTAAGGCGCCGCGATTCGCTGTGCAGAGTTGCGTCCCTTGGGCACGCCAGAAACCTGTGATTGCGGGTTCGAATCCCGGTTCGCCCCAATTATGTTTCTAGGTTTGTCAGCACCATACCCGTGCTCGTTGGTTTCACCGAAGTGGTAAACGTCTGAAACCTGCATCACTTCGGGCTTTCCTCCCACATTAAGCTTACACGTCGCGATATGACTGGAATACTGTTAAAAGCGGCGTTAAACCCAACTCACTCACTCTGATATTTGAAGTTCAAAATGAGGTTGGGGGTTGAGCAAGCACACCCTACCTGCATAACACAAGGTAGCACGGGTGGCCCAGTCTTCTTAGGGACCGCAATGTACCAGGAACCTATCATAGTAAGTTCGAATCCCAGTTCGCCCGGATTGTGTTTCTAGGTTTGTCAGCACCATACCCATGCTCGTGGGTTTCACCAAAGTGGTAACCGCCTAACACCTGCATTACGTCGGGCTTCCCTCCCACACCAAGCTGACACAGTGGGATATAACTGAAATACTGAAAGCGATGTTAACCAAACTCACTCACTCACTCTTACCTGGTTGACCATCGGGTGAGAAGAAGTGCAGGACGCTCCCCACCTTCCGTGCATAGTCACTGGCCATCTGGTGAAGGTCAAGGCGACCCACGTGCCACAGGAACGCTTGCAATAGCAACAGGTTGTCACGTGACAACATTCGGCGTTCCCGCAGATATGTGAAGAACTTCTGGGGAGTGGACAATCTTTCCAGTACGCCCTGCGGGACTCCTCTCTGACCTGTCATTACAAAAAAGGGAATTTCCTGGTATCGGATCCATGGTAGTGAACGCGCCATTTAGAGGTGAGTTGAAGTTGGGATTAACGTCACGTTCAAGTTTGTTTCACACTTTTTTGGAACGACATGCATGTACGTCTCTCAAACTTGGTGACAAGGCACTATAATACATATACAGCGACCTGAATACATCTAGAGCGAGACCGCCTCCGTGGCCTAATGGTAGAGCGTCCGCCTGGAGAGCGGAAGGTCCGGGGCTCGATCCCCGGCCGCGTCATACCAAAAGACGTTAAAAGATGGGACTTGTTGTTACCCTGTCTGCCACTCGGCATTAAGGGGCTAAAACAGGGACTGGTCGGCTCGGAGTCAGTATACCATGCCGCAGTTTAACTATTCATGTTAAACTGCGGCATGGTATCTCAGTGAGCTAGCACTATACATCGGCATCAGTCGTACTAGCAGCCACACACACACACGCACGTCGCTGTGTAAGTGCAATTATCTTGGACGCGACGTTAAACAACTTCACCTCACCTCACTTCTTGAGCGAAAATAGTTGAGGAATATTTAACGATAAAACAGCTCTGTGTGTGTGTGTGCGTGTGTGTGTGTGTGTGTGTGTGTGTGTGTGTGTGTGTGTGTGTGTGTGTGTGTGTGTGTTACGGACGAGTACAAACATATATAAAACAGCTCTCTCTCTCTCTTGACCACGAGGCTGTCATCTTTTTGAGAGTTTTCAATTGGAATGTTTAGATGCACTTCAGTAAAACGTTATGAATGCGTGAATCTTTCTATAGTCCTCGACACTTGAAATAGAATCACGAAATATCGCGATTATTAATACACATAACTGCTTGTGTGCTAATACTTATGATGTTTGTTTGTTGTTTAACGCCGCTCTTAGCAATATTCCAGCTATATGACGGCTGTCTGTAAATAATCGAGTCTGGACCAGACAATCCAGTGATTGATATCATGAGCATCTATCCACGCCGTTGGGATTCGATGACATGCATCAACCAAGTCAGCGAGCCTGACCATCCGATCCCGTTAGTCGCCTCTTATGACAAGCATAGTCGCCTTTTACGGCAAGCATGGGTTGCTGAAGACCTATTCTACCCCGGATCTTCACGGGTCCTTTACTTATTGGCCATGTAAGGATTGCGAGAGCCGTGAAGCAGGGTCCAGACTATCGGACCCCGGCTCATGGCCAGGTTGGCCAGATGTGTGTGATCCTAACCATTAATCGGGGCGGTCGGGTAGCCAAGTGGTTAAAGCCTTCGCTCGTCACGCCGAAGACCCGGGTTCGATTCCCGACATGGGTACAATGTGTGAAGCCCATTTCTGGTGTCCCCCGCCGTGATATTGCTGGAATATTGCTAAAAGCGGCGTAAAACCAGACTAACCATAAATCCAACTGATATCTACCTGAACAAAGGAATTTCATGGACTGGAAGTCATCGTCGTCCAGCTCACGGCCTATCCTCAACATGAGGATATTCAGCTCCCAGTCAGCCGAGGGCAACTCCATCGTCATCATCAACGTTCACCACATGATGTAGTTGCTGGAGGAGACAGCGTTGTGGACCATTCATGGATTGCCTTATGTTTCCACAGTCTGAAAGATATCACATAGTTAGCAAAACATGTAATGTGTGAGTGAATTGGGTTTGACGCCGCTTTCAACAGTATCACGGCGTGTCAGCTCAATGTGGGAGGAAAGCCCTGAGTGATGCAGGTCTCAGACGTTTACCACTTCGGTGAGACCCACGAGTGCGGGTATGGTGCTGACAAACCTAGACAAACCTTGGGGGCGAACCTGGATACGAACCCACAATCGTAGGTTTCTGGCGTGTCTGCACTCTGCACAGCGAATCGCGGCGCCTTCGACGACTGGGCGACCCCACAAGTAATATGTACATGAATAAATGGGTGAGTGAGTTTGTTTGATATAACGCCGCTTTGAACAATATCTCAAGTACATCACCAAGTACATCGCTAAGGACTTTTTTTGACAGGGGGGGGGGGGGGGGGGGGGGCAAATAAGATTATTCATTTTTTGTTCCAGTTAAATTTCACAAGGAAAAATGTTTGCTGTAAAAAATCCAGGGGGGCGATTGAACTCGTTGTTAGCACATCGTACTACTTGTCGCGGACCACTCGCTACCCTGATTTAGATCATCTATATAGGTTGTTGTTATAAGCTTGTCTGATTGATGTGACATCGGGGGGGGGGGGGGTATTACCGCCCAGATCTCACGTTAACAACACATATATCTCACGTACGCTGACCCTTCTCAGTATATACACCAATGCGACATGGCTGCTTTGTGAATGAATGATGATTATTCTCGTAAATCACGGCAGTGATACAGAGATGTAACTGGATACAGGAATTAGATACATGATCTTATATAACTTGCCAGTTTTAATAGAATTGGCTTATAAATAATGGACATCAAATGAGAGAATTTTATGGCAGAAGGATACATACAGTAGTATTGAGGCAAAAACTTGTTTCTAATTTCTGAGAGTTTTGGACATTCTAATAAAAAGTGCATTTCATCACGTATCAAATTTTTACACAATGTACATTTTCTTTCCTCTCTCACAATATTATACCATCTTCCTGTTTCAATGGGTAATCTATGATTTGCTGTTCTAAAACGAGCAAGAGAGATGCGTAAGGTGATTGGTAGTTCTAGTAAATAAGGTTCTAGGGATGGTAACTCTTTAAACATGTTATAATAGTAACCTTAAGATGAATTTTTCTTTGATTCTCGCCATCTTTGCAGAAAATTATGACATTTCATAACGTTTCACATTTCGTTTCAACCATGCGGCACTAATAAAGGTTTGAGACAACCAAATTTAATTAAGCCTATATTTTGAAGAATGCATTTTACTTCTTTTAATAGTGGGAAATGGTAATCTGGATTTGCAATGGACATTTGAAACATAAGTTTATATACTATACTAGAAAGGCTAGTTTGTGATGATGTTAGCTTGCACCAATATGAAATCATTCTTGTCAAGTCGGACCAGTCAACACACTGGGACGCACTTGTTATGATCACAGACAATGTAAGTTTCAGTAGCTGCTGAAGGCGTCTGGGTTTACGCATGACTAAAGTCATGTCATAGCTCGCAAGTTCTATAAATGTTTTATATTCATCGATAATAATGTCGCATTCATGAGTCACGGAGTTCATTTTCAAAGAATTATCTCTTGAGGGGGGTGAAGGTCAAAATCGGCATCCTGTTCCGGGAGGTTTTATACACATCATACAGACAATAGTTTAACAAATACACAGTAAGTGAATACCTGTTCAACACCACCCGCACAACAATGAGGGAGTTTCTCGACGTCGTCCATACACAAGCAGTCCGAATACAAAACTGCGTGAAGTTGGACACTTTATACAGTTACACAAAGTAAACACGTACACAAACATACTAAAATTCTCATTTAACGGGTGCAGATTAGGAAGATACTGTAGAGGGGTTCCCTCCCATAACGTAGACCTCCAAAATGCAGACCTCCCAAAAAGCAGTTAAAATTAGCTCACTAATTAATTTCTTTCTTGTTACATGGGTGATACCATTTTACTTAAGGGTACAGGGTACTAAATACTGATGCAACCAGCCATAACGAGTGTTGTTTTAACGGGTCTGCGTTTTGGCAGGTCTACGTTTTGGGAGGATACCTGTAGAGGTATTAAGCAGATACAACAATGGGGAACCCACCTGTTGAATTTAGTTTTCTTAAAGAAGGGTTGCGTAACCATGGGGATTATAAGAACGGCAATATAATAGAACAAAGCTAGCTGACACGAATCCAAATAAGAAGACGCACTTCAGAATGTACAGGCGCCGTAAACTTTATATAAACTGTTAGCTTTAATTCTAATTACTTTTTATCCCATCCATAATGTTATGCATTGTCTAATATATGCACGTAGGTGTGTAGGCGGGTGTGTTTATGTACGTTAGTACACAGTGCCTCTCATCTATATTATCTGTTGTATTTAATGTATGTTCATATTGTATTCAGTACGACTCTTGTATGGTTGTATGTGTGTTTGTATATATGGACTGAGGTGTGAATGGATGGATATAGGTATGGTTGTATGTGTGTATGTATATATGGATCGATATGTGTATGGATGGATATAGGTATGGATGTATGGTTGTATGTGTGTTAGTATATTTGGATTGAGGTGTGTTTGAATGGATATAGGTATGGATGTATGGTTGTATGTGTGTTAGTATATTTGGACTGAGGTGTGTTTGAATGGATATAGATATGTATGGATGTATGGTTGCATGTGTGTTAGTATATTTGGATTGAGGTGTGTTTGAACGGACATAGGTATGTATGGACCTGTGTATGTATAATACGGATTGATTTATGTTTGATGGATATAGGTATGTATGTAGGTTGGTATGTTAGTATGTATGCTGGTTACACATGTAGGCTAGTATACACGATTGATGAATTAAGTTGTGTGTATATGGACGCAAATTATGTGTATAGATGTATGACATGTATGAGATTGCCGTGAGTGTTTTGTATGAGATTGCTGCGAGGGTTCTGTATGAGATTGTTGTGAGTGTTCTGTATGAGATTGCTGTAAGTGTTCTGAATGAGATTGCTGTGAGTGTTCTGTATGAGATTGCTGTGAGTGTTTTGTATGAGACTGCTGTGAATGTTCTGCATGAGATTGCTGTGAGCGTCCTGTATGCTTACCTGTCTGTATGCTTACCTGTTTGTATGCTTTGAGCGGGATTTTAATGCGGATGTGTATGTGGGTGTATGGGTGCGGGTGTGGGTGTGGGTGTGGATGTGGGTGTGGGTGTGGGTGTGGGTGTGGGTGTGGGTGTGGGTGTGGTAATATACAAAGTTAAAACTAATTTTTCTTTTCTTTTTTTTATATATTTTAAATGTACCATTATGTAATTAGTGTCTCGTAGGCCAACTGGCCGGGTGCTGTTTTTTAATGAAATGTTTATATGTCCATATATTTTGTACTGCAGCATGAGACACTCTAACAAAACAATTTTCTTCTTCTTCTTCTTCTATATTAAACAAAGGGGAAGGCTAAACAAGCAGTTTGTAAGTGTCACACTCTCAAAAACGTAACTAAATAAAGGAATAACCGAGTGTCTATATTTATCGTGACCTGTACCATATCTTCATCTTCAGCGAAGACACGTGTCTTGTGGAGAGAAAGTAGGTCAGTGACAATGTAACAGTGTTGTCACCCGGGGCGACTGTCCTCTTGTCAGATTATCGACACATCGGGTGGATATTGTCACAGTGAAGGCAGGGACGCTACCGTGACGACACTCTGGCACAACTACAACACTACCACGACTTGGCCACAACCACTACCACAATACACTAACACAACTACCACGTGCACTATTGTCCTGGTAAACTATCACCACTACTTTACCATAAAGGATGACACGGGGAACATACAGTCGAAGTGTCGAACTTGGATGTGTCGAATTCCCGGTTGTCTCGAACTCATTTGGGAGTTCCATGTATTCAAATTGAGGATAAAAGTCCACCCTTGTTTCGAACCCCGGATAACTCGAACTTTTTCCCACCTGCCCACGAGTTCGACACAACGAGGTTCGACTGAATGTACTACGTTTATACAGTGAAATAATCGAAGCCATACACTATAATAACACGCGGTACGAAGTACTTTTATCATGGTTTAATGTTTGTTTAGTTTCTGCTCATTCAATGAAAATCTGTTCCTACTGAAGGACCTATTTTCGTATATCTGAGGATAGATGTCACTGAGTCACCTGTCATCTGGAGAGATAATTTTTGCGCTTTCAGCATTATTCCACCTACCGCATGGGACATAAACAGTGGGCTTCACACATCGTGCCCATGTCAACGCCTCAACATCTTGGCTTCTCCACATCGTCTCTCGCTTCATAAAAACGGGAACCCGCGGGGCATAGAACCATGCCCCAGCCAGGGCTCGGTTCAAACAAGAATTGCAGTTAGATCTGCTATCTGTCGTAGATCCCCTAAAGCCAAAAAATGCAATAGCGAGGACCAAACTAACTCTGTTTCTGAGAGATGGAAAGCTATGCGAACGTATATAAACAGAGCAGACAAAGATAAAAAATGAAATCATATATCAATAATACAAAAATAGAAATCACATCAATACAAAAAAAACAGAATTTTTATGAAGGCGACTTCTTAAACACTTAAAACAACAGCGGAATGGAACAATAAACTGACTAGTCCAAACACACACCCTATAGGGGCCTATGCTCGTCGTTAAAGGCGACAAAATGGACAGGGTGGTCGGTTATGGATGGTTGAATGTCATCGTATGTTTGTCATCGTATGCTCATAATAAAAATCACTGGATTGTCTGGTCCAGATTGTTCACAGACCACCGTCATATACAAGGAAGACAGTTCATCTTTATTGCAATAAATGCAACGTTTCGTTGTAGATCCTAACACCGTTATCAAGCAAGTGATGTACCGTCACATAGCTGGAATATTGCTGAGTGCGGCGTCAAACAACAGTCCAGTCAAACAACAGTCCAGTCATTCCAGTCCATTCAAACAACAGTCCAGTCATTCCAGTCCAGTCAAACAACAGTCCAGTTAACTCCAATGATTCAGATCAGCTATATAGTTTGTTGTTATAAGCTTGTCTGACTGATGGGAGGACACCACACTACCATAACCCACGTCACACACACACACACACACACACACACACACACACACACACACACACACACACTGGTTCACTTTACCTGTATATGTAGTACAACTGAGTCCATCGGTGAATTCAGCGGACCTGTCTAACAGGTGTGTATGCAGAGTTTCCAAAGAGGGTATGACCGGCCAGGTCAAACGTAAATAGCACTATCTAATACACACTATGTCGAGCTGTTTAGTCAACACAGACCAGTCAACACACTGGGGCGGTCCTTAATGATCACAGACAGTGTAAGTTTCAGTAGCTGCTGAACCTGTATACGCTACGCATGACTAAAGTCATGTGATAGCTCGTTAATTCAACATACATCGGTAATAACGTCGCCATTCACGAGTCACTGAGTTCGTTTTTGTTCGGCGTATTCCCTCCACGCGCAGATGAATTAACCCCCTATATCCCATATGTATTCTCGGTTTATGCACGCTAGAGCGACATTGGGGGTGAAAATAGCTCAATTTGACTCAACTTGTATGTCGCTCTCGCGATTTAGTGCACAATGCATTTAAGCTCCCATGTGTAATCCTAATGAAAACACAATAAGGGTTTTAAAACAACACAGTAATCCATATCATATTTCACATCAACACCATATGACACATAAATAAGATATCTTTCTTCTTTTAATAATAAAATAAGATAATAAAAACAACCATTAACCATTACTCCAAGTGAAGCAATTCACTGCAATGGTCTGCATACTCCATTCTGGATACGGCACCATCCATCGGTCTTGCTCTAGGGGGGGGGGGGGGGGGGGCAGCGTATTTGGATACGTCTCCCACTCGAATGGCTCCCACAAAAAGAATCACGTTAAACCTATGATTGTGGTTCGAATCCCGGTTCGGCCCGATTATGTTTCTAGGTTTATCAGCACCATACCCGTGCTCGTGGGTTTCATCGAAGTGGTAAGCGTCTGAGACCTGCATCACTTCGGGCTTTCCTCCCACATTAAACTGTCCCGACGCGATATAACTGGAATACTGTTCATAGAGGCGTTAAATCCAACTAACTCACTCACTCAAATCGCGTTAAACCAAACCATACAGCAATTCGAAATCCACGCTGGTCCGATAGCCCGAGACTACTCAACATTGCTGAGGACAAGTAAAAATCCAAGATGGTAGTCCTCATCGACTAACATTTGGTGGCTATATCTCTGAACTAGTTCTCAATGCCTCAATTTTGCTACAAATTAGAAATGAATAAAACTGACGAAAAAGGTAACAGTTTTGCTTCATTCGAGCTGGACTAGCATCAAACTGAGAACTAGTGAAATATGGTTTACACTAGTCCTCTTGACTAGTTTAAATAACACATTTCTAAGACAGCTAGACCTGGCGCTGAAAGAGTTACACGGTAATGTCGAAGGGTCAAGGGCAAACGAGGAACGTGACCCCAATCAAACGCTAAATGTTATCAGTCAGTTCAATGGCCTTGAACCATCACAGCCTTGCTGAGCAAGTGTACGGCGTATGCCCCAGTGTGATATTTGTGTATCACGTCTTCACGCCCTCGTAAACACAGTGTATTGCGCCATTTTACTTCTGGTGATAACATTGAGGGAAATGATAAATATCCGTCTTTCCTGCCAAATATTTGAGAGGCATTTTGAAGTTGGGGTGCAAAGTAGGGATCAGATGTATGGATAAAATGTTATAAATAAGCTGTAAATCCATACATCTTATTCTTCCTTATCATGCAACTGTTTGTTTGATACGTTCGGTTAAACCCGTATTCGCATATTCATGAATGCGGAGTGGATCGAAACTCAAACATACCGTAAATCTTTGAATAAACATCGGGTCGTATTTTAGTCTACAAACATGCTCTCTTTTCCTAACAATTAATGTCTCTAGGGAGCATCGCATATCATATCAGATTGAGGTACGAAAACACAAGGCTTGGGTGTAAAAATCCCTCCTGAAAAGAAATTACACGCCGACCTTGAATAAACACCGGGGCTCGGAACCTTCCGAATAAAATAAATACCGGGCGTTTATTGAAGCATTTACGGGACACGCAAAAAATCAGCATGAACTCGTTTCCGCAGATGAAGAATTATCTTGGCAAAAAACTATGTATCAGTCTGGTATGCTTGTTTAAAACCATACTAAGTATATTTACGGTTGGGTTTTTTTCGCCATGTGTTTTTTGGTTTTTGTTTGGTTATAATATGTTGTTTGTTTGGGTGTTGTTGTTTTTTGTTTAACGCCGCACTCAGCAATATTCCAGCTATATGACGGCGGATCTGGACCAGATAATCCACGTAATTAGGATACGATGACATGCATCATTCAAGTCAGCGAGCGTGACCACCCGGTCCCGTTAGTCATATCTTTCAAGCATAGTCGCCTCTTAGGACAAGCATGGGTTGCTTTCTAACCCAGATCTTCACGGATCTTCTGTAATGTTGAAGATATGGAAGCGAATTTGTGTAATATACGTAAAGATTATTTTGTTATTAAAACATTATTTTTGTTGTTCATAAAATGTAGAATCTTGAATTCCGAATGTGATAAATAAATTAGTATACGTCATAGAATATGCATTGTTTTAAATCACTATATATGTGTAAAAAAGAATCGGATTTGCTAATCATGTTTGAAAAAAAATTAGAGTTCAAAGATTGGTGAATTATTGTATTAAACTACGCATGTGTTTCAAATGTTGGTATTATATACTTTAAGTGCATTATGCGTAACTGGCCTTGAAACACTTAACACTGAATTAAATTGATATATTATCTAGTAAGCACCTTCTTTTACATGTGATAACGTTTATTGGGACATATTTAACGCCTGACCATGATCAAACATGAGCCCCTATTGCGTCAATGGCTGACGTTGGCACTAAACTTGTCTCGACAATGACGTCAATATGACGGGGTTTTATTCAAAACTGTAATTCGTTGCTAGGTTGCAAAGTGAAATGTGACAACATAGACATGAGATGACGATCGCCCCCGGGTAAATGATTGAAAGATAGCGAACCGCGAACTGGGGTTTCCCACAACTGCGCTGCGGCTTGGAACAGCTACTGCAGAGATGAAATATATGTAATACTGCCCCCTCGTAATGCTAGGGCCTCGCGGCGTAAAACCAAACTTACTCCCTCACTTTCTACCAGAACCTGGGGAATAAATTAAAAAAGGTACTCGAGTCTAGAATGATTTGGCAAATCTATATTTCCCCAGCTCTGCTCCTGAACTTAGGCATTGATCTGGGCTCCATTTGTATTATATTTTTTATTTTGTAGATAAACATTTTTAAATAACAGACCATTATTTCTGTGACAAAATGTCAGTCTATGTATCCTGTAGTGGTCGGAATGTGCTCGGATCTGAGCAGAGATTGTAGTTTTTGTTTGTTTGTTGTTTAACGCCGCACTCAGCAATATTCCAGCTATATCAGCGCGGTCTTTAAATTATCGAGTCTGGACCAGATAATCCAGTGATTGACATGAGCATCGATCCACGCAAATGGGATACGATGACATGCCTCAACCAAGTCAGCGAGCCTGACCACCCGATCCCGTTGGTCGCCCCTTGTGATAAGCACGGGTTGCCAAAGGCCTGTTCTTCACGGGTTCGTTACCAAAGCAAGGGAAAGACGAAGCCCTACCAAAAACTTTTATCGACCGATCTCACAAACTTCAAACATGTGCAAAGCTATGGAAGCCAAAAGAACATAAAGGCTAATGCATCACCTTGAAACTGGTAACTACATCAGACCTGATGAAATCGGCTTCAGGAAGGGACACTCATGTTTAGATCATATACTAAGACTGGAAATGATTTTTTTTTTTTTTTTTTTTTTTTTTTAAAAGAGCTCAAATAAATAGACAATTCCTAGCCGCAGCATTTCTGGACTTCAGCAAAGCCTTCGACGTGGTATGGCTGACTCGTTACATCCAAACTGCGTAGATCGAGATGCTCATGATCTCAATTCTGTGGATCGTTGTTCACAATATCAATCACTGGATTGTCTGGTCCAGACTCTATTATTTACAGAACGCCGACACATAGCTGGAATATTGCTGAGTGCGGCGTTAAACAACAGACAACACATATCAAATCGATCACGTACCTCAAAATGGCGTCGGACCAGGAAGATACACATTTTTATTGTGAACAGGGAGCAGGGTGATCTAAAAGTCATCACTTTAACCCTCTGGCTGCCACCTAAAAATAGCCTGTGTACTATCGCTGTGCCGAGTTTATTTGCGAGTGACGTTCTGGAAACTGCACACCTTCGTCTTAAAACGACGTAACGTAACAACGATAAAACCCACAATTTTCAAATTTCACACTATAACAGTACAACCATTTCCCTAACTGTCCAAGTAGATATTGTAAAGCAGTAACGTGATCATGGAAGTAGTAGAGATAAGCCTTTTGTGCGTAACACGACTGTGTGAGTATAGGTTCTTAAAATGCAAATGTATATATTGACCAGGAAACCACGGGCGTTCGAAACGAAATGCACCAGCTTTAATTGAATTGTAAGACCAAGGTTTTACTGGCCTTTTGACATGTTGATTGGTTAAACGTCGCAAGTTGTTTCACATGAAAATGACATGACGTGAATCGAACCTGCAACCTTACATATTGTGTTTGGTTTTGTAACCCACTCTTTTCCCACTGAGCCACCGGGGCAGGTGATGGAAGGGTGTTCAATCTAACATGTCATGACTTCAGTTGTGCCCATGCTGCACGTGGTCTTTCTCCCGCACGATTTCATCGAATTCATTCCGCGATAGACTGTATTGTTTCACTATTAGGTAGACCGACACCTTCTTATTCTATCTGGCGTTTCTTGCCATTTGCACTGGGCTTACTTCCTCACTCAAAACCTCGTAGTCGGTATTTATCCCTTATTCACATCACACCTTCCGGAAGGGCGGTCAGGTAGCCTAGTAGTTAAAGCGTTCGCTCGTCATGCCGATTCCCGACATGGGTACAATGTGTGAAGCCCATTTCTGGTCCCCCCCCCCCCCCCCCCCCCCCCCCCACACACACACACACATACACGTTTACAAGCCCTCCTGGCCAGTGAACTTGGGCGAATAATTCTTACTCTCAGTCTGGTTTGAACCCAGGATCACAGCGAATTGCGGGCCGTACACAACTGGGCCACCTGTGTTCCCGCTGCCTTTGTAGAGAACGAGGGTTCACTGATCACAGAGGAGGACGATAAGCCAGTTTATTTTAACTGATGGCTAAATTGCGTACCATCACCAGCAGTAGAATGATTAGAGTACCACAGTTTCGATTTTAAAACTAGTTGAAAACATAATAAATTATGACTCAACAATACAACATAAAAATTGGCTATAGATCACCAGCAACCCCAAGTTAAGCC